GCTTAAGGAATCAAAAAATTAAGGAAAGGCAAGTCACCTTAACTAGAATAAGATGGAGTTTTGAAGGAAGAGTGGGGAGTACTAAAGGAAAACGAATGGGTCTATTCTTTTTTTCTCATCTTTCGTTTTATATATATTTTTCTTTTGGCTATGGAAATTTCTCTCCATCTGCACAGCAAATGGTGACATTAGTAACATTTTGTTGTAGTCCTCAGTTAATAATTTATTCTGGCACCTAGGCTGCTTTCAGTTAGGGACCATTTCTTGTCCTTTGTCCTTTCTGTCTCAAGCTCAGAGCTGGCAACCAGCAGCTGGTTAGAACTCTGGGTGCTATTATTTGTGAATAAATGATTCAAGATTCACTTCAAGACTGCCCCAACTTTACCTGGCATACACGTTTATCCTTTCCAGAATACAAATTATTATTTTGTATACATTGCTCATCTAGGGCTTATCACATAAAAGAGTGTGTGTGTGCATGCACACGTCCATGTTTTCTGGTCTCTACCTACCACTCCTGTGACTCCCTAGATCAGAGATCAGATCTTCCTGAATAATTGTGTATTTGTTTCTTTCATCCCTGTTGCTTTTTTTCCTGGCACTGGGCTTAGCATTTGCTCTGTACTTGAAAAAAATATGTGTTGAATAAGTTCTCTATTATGATATGCTAAAAACAGCAGGAAGAAAAACTATATAGCACCATAAGAACTACAGTTGCAGAATCCTTGATTGTTAAAATAAAAATTATCAAAACCAAAAGGTGACTTCTGAAGTTTTTCTTGTTTGCATTTCAAGAGAACCTTAAACCTGCACGAGTTTCAAAACAAGACATATAAACAATTCTATAGAAGAACTCATCTGTAAAATATTCAATGTTAGTATCATGAATAGCACATTACAAAATAACTAGGAAGTGTTCAAAAATCTTTTTTTTTTTAAATATGTATTTATTTTTTATTTGAGAGAGAGGGCACAAGCACGCACATGAGTGGGGCGGCGGGGAGGGGGGCACACAGTTAGAGGGAGGGAGACAATCTCCAGCAGACTCTCCTCTGGGCTTGGAGCTTGATCTCAAAACTCTGAGATCATGACCTGAGCCGAAATCAAGACTCAGACATTTAAGAGACTGAGCCACGCCAGGTGTCCCTCTTTTTCAATATTATAAGGTTTCTACATTAGAAAACAGAAAACAGAAAAGTATAAAGAATATATCAAGAAATGGACAAAGTCATCACAAATCTAAGTTAATTTATTTTTGTCATATTGACTTTAGGTGTTATTACAAACAGTTGAAATAATAACCTTGGAAAAACGGAGTCCAAAGAATGAGAAAACTGAATTTTGCTGTCAATTTACTGATAGATAAGACTTTACTATTTTTGTTAAAAGTGATAATTTTTGTTTCAGGAAATACTAGCTATTTAAGGCAAATAACTCAAAGGTTATTAAAAACCAAGCTACATGCTACAAAGACTTTGAATATATATAATTAAAATATATATTTCTTTACCTATCTAAAGTACCAAATGAATTTCTAGAAATCTTTTACAAAAGAAAAGATTTTCTAATATCATATATCCTGGCTGAATTACTAAAATAATCCAGAAATAACTATATTTTATGGCTTGATGTTCAGAAAATAATTTATATCAGAAAACAAAAGTCTGCCGCAATGTGTATTATTTCATTCATCAAATGATATTTTCAATTCTACTGCTGGGCAATAGAATCGAGTGAGAAGTTTAGCACTTCTTTGGAATGAATTAATTTTATTTCAATGGGTAATAGCTATTACAGTCTGTTTTTTAATAGACCTAGTGGGAAAAGAAAAAAAGAAAAAAGAAAAATTCCAAATTACCTACTTTATGCTTGTACATGTTTGATAGTACTATTTTCTCTTCCCAGTTTACAAGCTCTATTTTCCCACTTTCTGACTATAGTCTTTAAAATTCAGAAGCCGAACACCTGAGTGGCTCAGTCAGTTAAGCGTCTGCCTTCAGCTCATGTCATGATCCCAGGACCCCGGGATCAAGTCCTGCACCCGGCTCTTTGCTCCGCGGGGAGCCTGCTTCTCCCTCTCCCTGCCACTCCCCCTGCTTATGCCCTCTCTCCCGCTCTCTTTGACAAATAAATAAAATCTTTAAAAAAATAAAATGCAGATTCCTAAGCCCTGTAATCATCTTTTCTTAAGGAATACACATCTCTGGTTTTTCCTCAACAGAGTCCCTGTAGCACAGGCACATTTACATTATTAATATGTTTTACATAAGATTATGTGCAAAATGTAACATTTTTAAAAAGTCGGAGAAAAGAGGGTGTGCTCATAATTTCCTATTTCGAATGAGAACTTTTTTTTTTTTAAAGATTTTATTTATTTATTTGAGAGAGAGAGAATGAGAGACAGAGAGCATGAGAAGGAGGAGGGTCAGAGGGAGAAGCAG